CTGTTTCTGTTTCTGCTGCTCTTATCTATATCCTTGTACCTAATTCTTTTTGTGTTGCCGCTGCTGCTGCTGCTGCTGCTGCCCCTGCTGCTGCTGCTGCCCCTGCTGCTGCTGCTGCTGTTCCTGCTGCTGTTCCTGCTGCTGCTGCTGCTGCTGTTGCTGCTGCAGATCAATGCACAGCACCGCAAGGCTCCGTTTTTCTTTAAGTCACGGGGTGTATTGGCAGCTGGCGCTCGTTTGCTGCGGCTGCTGCTGCTGTGTCCTTCTACTGCTGAGCCGCAGCAGCAGCAGCAGCAGCAGCAGCAGCAGCAACAGCAGCAGCAGCAGCAGCAGCAAATGCTGCAGCAGCTCTTCAAACAGGCCCGCCCTTTGTTCACACATGAACAGCCACACCTAATGCCGAGGCAGCAGCAGCAGCAGCAGCAACTGCAGCAGCAGCAACAACAGCAGCAGCAGCAGCAGCAGCAGCAGCAACTGCAGCAGCAAGTCTCGATCCCCCATCCAGAAGAAATTTTCCCTTCTCTTGACGGACTCCAGCAGCAGCAGCAGCAGCAGCAGCAGCAGCAGCAGCAGCAAAAACACCACCAACAACAAAAGCAGCAGCAGCAGCAGCAACAGCAGCAGCAGCAGCAGCAAGACCAGCAGCACCAGCCCCACCAGCACGAGCAGCATCAAGAGCAGCAACCGCCGCAGCAAAAACAGCAGCAGCAGCAACCCCAGCAGCAACAGCAGCAGCAGCAGCAGCAGCAGCAGCAGCAGCAGCAGCAGTTTATAAATTTTTTTGTTTCTCTTAAGCAGCTTCTTGCTGCTGCTTTTGATCTGCAGCTAGGGATAGAGCTTGCTGCTGCTGCTGCTTCGCAGCTGCTGCACCTGGGCTACCATGTAGGCATGGTGCTGCCTCTCCTCGCCATCTATGGGTTAGCTGCTGCTGCTGCTGCTGCTGCTGCTGCTGTTGTTGTTGTTGTTGTTGTTGTTGTTGATGCTGTTGCTGTTTCTGCTGCTGCTGATGCTGTTGTTGTTGCTGCTGCTGCTGTTGCTGC